GAACCAACATCCCTAAAAAAAAAAACAATCTTCCATTTCTCCTTTACGTGCCAAGTTTGACCACGAAATCTACCAATTGTCTAATACAAATGACATATAACATGAATGTGTGATTTATGGCAGGTTATGCTGTTAGCCGGGACCGACACGTTAGCAGTGACACTAGAATGGGCCATGTCTGCCCTACTCAACAACCCTGAGAAACTCCACAAGGCCAGAATCGAGATCGACAATCTGGTCGGGAAAGACCGCCTGATCGACGAGTCCGATTTATCCAACCTCCCTTACCTTCAACACGTTATCTCTGAGACATTCCGATTGTTCCCAGCAAATCCATTGCTTGTACCTCACGAGGCATCGAGTGATTGTACCATCGGTGGGTACTATATACCACGTGGCACGATCCTGATTGTCAATGCATGGGCCATTCATAGGGACCCCGAAATTTGGGACGACCCCACCAATTTCATTCCGGAGCGTTTTGAAGCTGGAGAGGTTGAACCGACAGAGCTGATACCGTTTGGGATGGGAAGGAGATCCTGCCCGGGTATAGGCCTGGCCCAACGTATGGTGGGCTTGACCTTAGGGTCTCTGATTCAAGGATTTGAGTGGAAAAGGGTCGATGAGGCCATGGTCGATTTGGCGGAACGGACTGGGACATCGATGCCCAAAGTGATACCATTGGAGGCCATGTGCCTATCACGCTATGTGCTCCAGAATGTGTTTGGTGAGGCAGTCTGAAACATTTGATTTCATTCTACTGTGGAGAAAAGCTTGTATGCCTGTAATTTAAGTTTGTTTTAGTGGTGATATTACTTAACAACCATTTCAATGTTTTTTCATGTGGCATACCAAATAAAATTTCTAATGATATTTTATTTTATTAATCACTACGTCAGGCACGTATAATAGTATCTTTAATCATGTCCTTGATACTCTATTCGACCATGTAATTATCCCATCAAGGAAAGGATAAATATAAGTTAAGTACCAAAGTGAACTGGCATTAGTTAGGTTGAGTAAGTCGTCCCTTGTTAGCTCGGGAGAGTTGGTCCTAGTTAGGTCAGATGAGTTGGTCCCAGTTAGCTCAGGTGATTTAGCCTCTAGGTAGCTCGAGCATGGGGGTGATTTATTATATTTGGCTGACCTAAGACAAGTTGAAATAGGTGGACCTGTCGTTGCTTATCTAAGATACAAGGATAATAGGTCGATAGAATTACGAGTAGTTATACACGAGAGTCGTAGACCTATTGATAGAATATTGGATAGACCTATGGACAGTTAGATAATAAGGATACATGGATCATATAGGTAGTGAGGACCTATAGGGAAAGGGTTTGAGAATCTAATGATAATGTAGATGTAGGAGGTCTCGGGCATGCCTAAGAGATAACAATAATCATTAGGTAGACATTTGAGTAGCCTGGGCTAACGGACAATAGGATCGGGTAGCCCTTCGGTTAGTTGGGTCAAGAGTTCACTATATATAGGTATAAGGTATGAACGGTGTTGGTGTATATACTTAAAGCTTGATTTTTTGCGTAATAAACACTATGTTTCTTTTCAATGAGAATCATGTTTAATTAAATTGTCTTATGTTATGATGTTTTGCATTTGGATATTGTGGTTCATTGCGGGTGAACATCACATATTGTTTTTTGTTGAACATAAATTATATAGTTCACCACTTAGATGGAAATGAAAAACTCATCGTGAACGGTTGTAGTGTTAGCTGCAGTCTGTCTTGACTGATTAGATACAATAGTGCGCTGTGTGAATTGAACGGATTCTAGAGAGGATAAGTTTGTTTTGCACTAATCGGTAAACAAACTATACCTCAGTTAATTATTGTGTACTCTTAACCCGTAAGGTATAAACAGGCACGTGCATGCAGTAGCTACTACATTGATCCACTAAAAAGTGAGACTCATTTTGATGAGTCAATAAACTGGGGTGTGTTTTGGGCAGTGATGTTTTGTCTATGGTGTGCTGTTCAATTATTCACGGTCACTGTGTGCGATAGTGTAATGATGTACCTGAGATATTTAGGGCCTCAAATTTTCACACAAAGTATATATTTTGTCATTAACCCATTCATTAATTAGCCACTTCATTTGTATAATGAGCCAAACTCATCACAAATACATAGTATTGAAAAAAAAAATTGGGGCCCCAAATATAAGGGGAGGCCCTAGGCATGGGCCTAGGCTGCCTCCCCAAGGAGCCGGCCCTGCGAGTGGTATTTGATAAGTGCATTAATTGGACTAGTTAATCAAGGGTGTAAACTGACCTAAGATCGATTTCATTCTAATAAATGCTAAATTATTTGTTATTTCCGATTTCATCATTATTTGCACTTTAATCATAAATCTCTAGTTTTAGTTTAATTTTTCGTTTTGCTAGTAGTTTCATTTTGAATCAAAACCCCCCCTCTATTTTCGCTTTTATCTAATTAATACAAAATAATCATGTTTATACCGCACTCCTCGTGGTATCGACCCTTGCTCGTCACTACTACTAGTTAGTTAGTAGAGGTTAGTCGATGAAAAATTTATAAATAAATTTGTCACGTTGCAACACGTGGGCATATAACATGCTCACGTCCACCTTTCCCCTATAGCTCCTCTCGGAGCTTCCTGTGTACACCCTAGGACCTCTCGACTTTCATCGCACCTCCATGCATATAACCTATGATCCACATCCAACCACTTCCACCGGCTTCTCAAATGAAGCTCTTTCCTTTCATATCATGATGAAAACCTCTTTTCCACTCGTCTGACTGGAGTTCACAACTCCAGCGTCAAGACATGATTCACCCCTCACAAGTTTGTCCTAGGGGTGCAAAGCTCTACCCTCGTTGGACCATTCGGTGGCGGCCCTACTCCAAAAGGTGTTTTGGCTACCCACACCTTCTCCAAACCCTTATTAAAAGTCTTTCTCAATCTCTCATCCGCCATCGTCGTCTTATTCACTGGTGCTCCTATGAAACTGGTATAGAAATGGTATGTTCCCATAAACAGCACCAATTGATGTTCAGTTGCACCTTGAATTGGCTTTCACTCATCCTTCAACCGATTTGACCTCCAGAGACCTACAAAACACACCAGGAATGTTCTCCGCGTAAAACCTCCGACGATGAAGCAGCAAAGAGCTATGAAATGTTGTATGAAATTATAAGCAATTGTGTGTAAAGCTTAGAGTGTGACCTTATGTTTCATACCTTATACCTATACATAGTGAACTCTTGACCTAGCTACCTAAAGGGTTGTCCGATCCTACTGCCTATTTGTAATTTCTGAATTTGCAGGTGACGACAATGATAGCATATAGTTCACATATTGTTTACAATACTAGTACTTTGTTTATATTATTTAAGTATTGCTTTATCTTTTCATCATTTGATTTGTTTATAGTATTGTCAAGTTATTTTGCTGGAGTTGAATACTATGTCTAAAACATGGCAATTTTAGAACTTAAGCTTTGATATCAATATTAGTAGTTGTTAATTTGTCTTACACTTTTTGCAGGTGTGGGTGTTATTTCACTACGAAGAAGTTGATGGATTTGGAAGATTTTATTCATCTATGGCCCTGTTGGAACCTATATTTGATTTACAATGCTTTTACTCTCATTTGTAAATGATGGATTTTTGTTTTGATATCTCAACTATTTATGTTGGATATTTGTTTTTCAATATCGCAGTGGTTGGAGCTTGACTTACGAAGAATTGCTTTTTGGTAGACGCTATTGCTAAATTTGAGTTTTGGATATTCAAGTTACAAATATGTATACAAATTAGTACCAAGTAATAGTGACAACAAGTATACATTGACTATATCAATGAGATTTTGTGACAAAGGTTGTCGGTGACTAAATCATGAAATTCTAGTGATAAAAATTTTATGTCACATTGACTATATAATGTATGCCACATGCAAAAAACATTGAAATGTCTGTCAAGTAATATCACCACTAAAACAAACAATCATACAAAAGCCTCTCAACAGTAGAATGAAATCAAATGTTTCAGACTGCCCCACCAAATACATTCTGGAGCACATCACGTGATCGGCACATGGCCTCCAACGGTATCACTTTTGGCATCGATACCCCGGTCCCTTCCGCCAAATCGACCAAGTCCTCATCAGTCCTCTGCCACTCAAAGCCCTGAATCAGAGACCCCAAGGTCAAGCCCACGACACGATGGGCCAGGCCCATTCCCGGGCAGGACCTCCTTCCCATCCCAAACGGCATCAGCTTTGTCGACCCAACCTCTCCAGCTTCGAAACGCTCCGGAATGAAGCTGGTTGGGTCATCCCAAATCTTGGGGTCCATGTGGATGGCCCACGCGTTGACCATCAGGATCGTCCCACGTGGTATGTGGTACCCACCGATGGTACAATCGTTCGCTGCCTCGTGAGGTAAAAGCAATGGCGCTGCTGGGAACAATCGGAATGTCTCGGAGATAATGTTTTGAAGGTAAGGGAGGTTGGATAAATCGGACTCGTCGATCAGACGACGATCTTTCCCGACGAGATTGTCGATCTCGATCTTGGCCTTGTGCGGTTTGTCAGGGTTGTTGAGTAAGGCGGACATGGCCCATTCTATGGTCACTACTAACGTGTCAGTCCCAGCGAGCAGCATAATCTGCCATTCAGCATATATTCACTTTACTTGTCATATAGAACAATATTATTGGATAGATTTGGTTGTCAAATTTGTCGAGAAAATAGGATGAGCTTTTTTTGGGAGAATATAGTATATAATTTTAAATAAAAATGAATTAACATACCAAAATAATGCCTTTAATGGTGACGTCATTGTAGAACTCGGGTTTTTTCTCCTGCAAGGAAAGCAGGTGATCGATCATGGTGTTGCCGCCCTTGCTCCGCCGTTGATCATCAATCAGCCGCTGCAAAACGGCATCCATTTTCCGGCTCATTTTTACCAATTTCTTTTGGAAGCCGTTGTAATCGATCCACCTCAGCACGGGGAAGAAGTCAACCAGGTGGGACACCCCGCCGTTGCGGAAAACCTCATTAATCAGCTCCCGGAACTCCCTGGCTTCCTCATCTTCGCCGTCCGCCCCAAAGTACCTCTTCCCAGCCACCATTCTCATGATGTTGTTGAAGGTGAGCTCCGAAAGGCCGGACCTGAGCTGGACCCTCGCGAAGCCCCCAGAGGACCGGTGGTGGAGCTTCTGCAGCAGGAGCCGAACCTCGTCGTGACGGATTGAGTGGAAAGCGCTGAGCCGAGCGCCGGAGAAGACCTCGACGGTGGTGAGGCGGTGGAGGTTCCGCCAGTAGTCTCCGTAGGAGGAGCCGGCGAGTGTGGTGTAGTTGTAGCTGATGTATTTGCCGACTATCAGCCGGGGGCGGTTTGCGAGGACGATGTCGTTTCGGGTGAAGCACTCCTCGACGAGGTCTGAGGAGGAGACGACTACAGCGAGGCGGCAGCCCAGGCGGAGGGAGAAGATGGGGCCCACCGTCTGGGCGAGGCGGTGGTAAGTGCGGTGGATGGGGGTCTTCAGGAGATGGAGGTGGCCAAGGATCGGGCGGGCTCGGGCCGGGCTTGGCGGGAGTTTTTGGTTTTTGCCCTTTTGTGAAAATGATAATTTGAGGAAGATTAGGAAGATGAGGAGGAGAGTGAGGGAAAGGTAAAGGCAGCCGATTTCCATGGTTAGAGAATTTTTTTTTTTTTTTCTACCTCGTTTAATTTTGATGTGTGTGGGTTTGAGTTTATTCTTAAACCTCTTTATATATATGTACGTGTAAGATAAATAGTATGAACACAAGAATTTGCACAACTTTAAAGTAAAAATGGAATACGGGTTGTTTTACCATTAACTTTTTTTTACTATATTTATTATCACTGTTTTCGACGGTAATGATGATCCTAATAAAATGTAGGTAGCAAATATTATACTATTTGATATCCACGTGTTGTTTTTCTTTACTTGAATATATCCGAACACAAAGATCCTACGAAAATGCAGCCGATTTATGGAGTCAACTCAAGTCTGCACCAAAGCAAGTGACTCATAAGATACGTGGACCATCTCGCGAGCGGCCCAAGTAGTTGAGATTAGGTTTGTGGATCCCTCGATCTATTGAGATCTGATTCTGTCGATCACCCCCTGAGTCTTCTCGTGGAAGATTGACGATCACCCCTCATCTGAACACCGAACTGATAAAGCTGATGACACCGCCCAATCTGTTTCATCGATCAAAAGAAGAGTTTTGCATGGATATACGCGGCGCCGCACTACATCCCTAGTTGGCATCAGAAATCTAATGTTTTTCTTACCTTTTCTGTGTATAAATACCAACCCCTTTGGGTCCTAAAAAGAACAACACTACGAACACAAAATTCCCTCCTCATATGGTTGTAATACATTGCTACACAATTCCTCAATAAAAAATCTGGAGAACCTTTCTCCTTGCTGATCGCCACAGTCGATCGGCAAAACCAGTGCCTTGTTCTTTTTTTGAGCATATTTATTTTCTTAAATCTTTCCATATCTTTTTGAGATTCAATGCGATTAATTACACAATAAGTATACTGTAACTCCCCCGATTAAACCGTCTAATTTATATCCATAATAATCGTTGGCGGTCGACCGTTAACAAAATGGCGCTAGAGGAACAACAGCCATATAGGGTTACATTTGGATCTCATTACTATATAAGGTCATCCTTTGTTAAGGTTTTTTCACAAGAACTTTCTCTCTTCCACTTTATACACACTCCTTATCCTTGTCAAATGAAGGGCGGCACAGTCGACTCACTTTTTCTTGTTATCGGCCCGAAGAAATGGCGGTTCTACCGACCCCTCCGTCACTGATTACCTCGTTACTCTATCGAAATAAAAATCTTCACAAAAGTGTCCAAATACTTTCTATTTGTCTCCTCAACTACACAAAAAACCCAAATCTATACACTATGGTCAAAATCTATGGTAGTCCACCTTTGACAAGAATACAGATCGATTAGCTCACCCTCGACAATAACATCGAGGGAGTAGAACTCTTCGATCTAGAGTAATGGCGTCTTCCTTAATAGCCGGAGACCTAGGGACAAGTACGACAAGGACCTATCAAATAGTCATGTGTCAGTTCTTGTTCTCAGGTCTTAAAATTAATCAACTCGATGATCATCGTATAATTGTTGGGCAATCACGGACTTATGCCTGATCACAATCGCTCGACACGTCGATCACCTAATCGAGTTGCCATTACACGCCCGGGGACTAGGCCAAGCAATTATCCGCAGAGTAAACCTCCTCCGGAGGTCTGGAGAAACCATCAAGGTCAGTCGAGACCACAAGCTGCCCCCACGATCGACAACAATGTCAAGAGCTATCGACAAAAAAAGAAAAGTACTGATCCAATGCCTGTCGATATATGCAAAAATACATCCAGGACACTTCGACTCAATATCATCCTATGGGGAGAACGACTCGTCGATCAGCCCATATTAATGCAAATAGGCGAACGACAGATCTACGTTAGGGACATCAACAATAACATCACTAAAAGAGGTTTCCTCACATATATAGATCAACAAATTTATGTGTAGATATTTATAGAGTCGGCAAAGTTACACATCTCATGTATCCCGTACATTCTTGAGAACTATGTAACAACATTGCACATGGAAAAAATTATTGTACTCTTGTTTATACTTTTAGCACGATCACTATATTTGTATTATATACACAATCGTTGCACTCTATATGTAAAATCTCGACAAGTTGCCGCTTTTTATCCAATCGCCATGTGAAGTTAAAAGTCAAAATATTACGATATAAAAAACAAGAGACAAGCATCCAGTCAAACCCAGTTTTGTTCGACATTCCTAATAAAGTCAACTAAAAATGACCTCTATAAAAAGTAAAAGTGCTCTTGATCGTTCGTCTATCATCAAGGTCTTTTTAAACTAGAGGTGACCCTTGAATAAAAGAAGATATGCTCTTGGCCATCTCGCGATCATCAAAAAAGATCACCTTACTCAAATTGTCTCACGCGATCGCCAAAGATTTCTTTAAAGATCAAAACATATATTCTTCAAAAATGAGATGGACACATCTTGCAACACACGTTGATTCAACAACCAATAAACCGATGGACCAATAGTTTACCCATATGAAAACTATAAGATTATCCCACAAAATGGCGCTTCCCACTAAAAGACGACCTTTACTAGTTGATGCGTCCTAGCAACGGCTGTCAGATGACTCAAATCGCTTGGCACATCGCAGTAGACACCATAAAGTCGGTGCATCTTAGAAAGACGATCTCACTGTCTATGGGGTAGGGACGATCATGTAGATAATGATCCTCCCTCTGATGTGTGACACCTCTCGTGCGATCCTATAAAGCAGGATATCTCATCTAAAACAAAATGGCGATCTCACAACCCCCAACTAAACACGACCTTGAAAAGAAGCGATCCTTCCATTTGGCACGAAGAACGACCTTTATTCCCGCTTAAGGCTAAAAAGAATATTTATACACAAAAGGGCTAACCTTTTCGGTGAAAGATGGTCCCTCGCACGTCGTCCGAGGGATTTGATTTTAATTGAGAGACGATCTTTCGCATAGCAATCAAGGAATCCAATTTTGTTCTATAAAGGATGATTCTCCATAAAACAATTGTCAGGAATTCTCCTTGGCTGACTCTTTAAACAGAAACAAGCCCAATACCTAAAAGTGAAAACTATTTTTGAAAGAATAAAATCATTCTCAACAGTCGGTAGCAATGATCGCTAGGACATTACCCTACAATAAATATCCCCTCTTGAACCTTCAAATACCTCTTTTCCACCTCCGAATACTAAATACTCTCCTAAAAATTTTATATCTATCAAAACCATTCCAAAATCACAAAAAAGTCCTTCTTTTAGCCCACTAAAATACCATTGGAATACAAAGATTTTCTTAGCCAGCTTGCGGTTGGCAAAGCCATAAACCAACTCATGGTCGACAAATTCTGTAAAACCCACTTACAGACAACTCGCGATCGGCAAAGTCGTAAACTCGCTCACGGTCGGTTAAACCCGTCCGCGGTAGGAAAAGAAGTCAAAATCAGTTACAAGCAACTCACGATAAATAAAATCGTAAACCCGTTCACAAAATACTAGCGGTAGGCAAAACAGTAAAATCTGCTTACAAACAAATCACGGTCGAAGAGATGTAAACTCATTGCAAATACTCACGGTCGGCAAATCCGTAAACCCACTCATGGTAGGCATAAGCCGTAGTACCCGCTTACAAACAACTCGCAGTCGGTTAAGTCGTAAACCCGCTCATGGTCAACAAATCCATAAATTAGTTTACAAATACTCGTGGTCGACAAAGCCGTAAACCCGCTCGCGGTAGGCAAAGTCGTAAAACCCGCTTACAGACAAATTGCGGTTGAAAACTTGCTCGCGATCGACAAAACCCTAAAACCCACACATGAAATGTATAAAACCCGTGCAAAGTTTCACGGGGACTTTAGAAAATTCTTTTGCGGTTGTGCCACTATTTCAAATGCATAATCTTACAAAGTGAATACATCATATTGAAATTTTGGGGAGATATACCATTATTGTGCTCAATGAATAAAAACAATGTATGTTCAAACAATTGCTGAAGCTAGTTCAAACAAAATATGAACCTTCAGGAGAGCATCCCGCTCTTTCTCGGAACTCTTTTTTTTTTTTTGGTACATGAAACTCTTTCATTCATATAGATGTTTGGCCTATTACACTTAGAATTTACACAAAAGACGCCATCTTATAAACCTAAAATGCAATCACCTATACAACTACTTTTCCAAGCACAAATCCCTTGAGAATTTCCCAACACAAATCCTTGGTGTTGTTTTAAGTATTCATCCAAAACACTTATTCAAAATTCAGAGATTGATTACGCACATGAAGATAAAGAACAGGCTCTTGTCTTCTCCCTTAATTAAAAATAAATAGAAATCTCAAAAACAGGTACATTCACGGCATGCACTTATCTCTTTTTTAAAATGGTAATTTTATACCGCTTGAGAGAAGGTGTGATTTTATAACGCTTCCAAAATGGTAAGTCTCTTCATTTTTGTCCTCTCCAAAATTAGTTGTGTCTTCAATCACAAGTCAACTCCAATTGCGATGGCTCAACAACAGTAAATGAATTTCCACGTTTATCTTTCATGGTTATTATTTCCTTCCAAGTTCGATCGCTCCACATGGTATCTGTCCTTCCTCGATTCCCATGATTCGCTGCAAATAAAAGATTGATAAGGAACAACAAAAATCAAGAAATATAATTAATAAAATACAAAACAAAACGCTTCTCTTTTTTATTCTAATCTCATTCCAGTACGCCATGCAAGTTCTAAGTGTAGATAGAAGTTTGTCGATTTAATGCGAAATTGAACATATTTTTACAAATATATTTCTTAAAGCCATAAGCTAGCTACAAATCCCTAAAACATCTTCAAAAAGCCAAACATCGGCCAAAAGCACCAGAAACCAAAATCCCACATCTTTTGCCTTTAACTTATAATTATTCCAGGTTTCTTACGAATCAGTTGAATCCCTACCACTACAAGATGTGTCTCCTTGTGAGGCTGAAGCCATCTCATTTGGAGGATTCGTCTCCGCATAGGAAGTCCGCAATTCCATTATCGAGCTCGGGTCCAATCGTGAGATCGACTGTGCCTTAATTGGGGGATCGACATGCTCCTTCATGACCACTTTTGCATCCTGGTCTGCCTCTCTATCGTCATCAGAGGCCAACTCCAGACGAACCTTCTTTCGGGAGTACACATACTTGATGAAATTCAGATCCTGGCCTCTCTGTAAGGTCTTCAGCACCCTTTGGATAGCTACTGCTCGCTCTGCTTCCACCAGGTTGGCTGCCTCAGTGACCTCAGATCCTTCACCCATCTCTTTGTTGATCTCTATTCCATTTTCTTCACACATCTTAAAGCCTTCGGCATGCACTATCTCCTTACCCTCAAAAGGCCATTCTCTTTTCACTGCTCCAGACCACCAGGACTTCGTCAAATTTATTTGGCCCCATGATCGGCGATCTTCTCTACCTCGGCCTTCCCCTGCCAGATCTCCTGGCGAGCAATACTAATATCACATTTAGACACTGCATCTATGCCGTGTTGTAGTCTTCAACATCTCCATCTTTTGCTTCATCGCCTCGAGGTGATGCTCATGTGGAGCCCTGATGTCCTCCAAATTAGACTTCAGGTGATACCACCGAAATTTTCTAATAAGTCTTTTTATATAGATCACTCACCTGGCTTAGTCGATCTTCCAAAAATCGGTGGTGATCCTCACAAAGACGATGCACCACCTTAAGCTTCATCAATTAATCAAGGTTCTTTATGACTTGCTAACTCCTTGCATTATTGAGCCCATAACCACCACCATATGAGTCGGTGCCCACTCCACTATCTCAAATGTCGGCATCGATGTCGCGTCCACCACATCCATAGACATTCTATGAGGATTGGGGATCTACGAGACCTCCGACCTAATAAAGTTGCAGTACCAGTTTGACCTGTTGTCCTTGAAGCTGCTTGCTAGATCTTACCTCGCCGGATCACATAGAAGATAACCCCTAATGGTGCGTGAGAAGTTGATCCCTTGGCTTCACCTTGTGGAGGTGGCTCAAACTGATGATCTTCCACATGATCTGTCTCATCCCTTGGTGCTTGCCAAACATACCCTTGTGAATTGCCACTATTGGAACTTGATGATAGTCCCCTTGACGACCCTTGTGATCGCCCTCTGAAGGGTCTTGACGATCTCCCTCAAAATGACTTGGGCGATCTTCTCCCAATCCTGCCGGTGCGTCCTCCGTAACTACATCTCTTTCCGGCTCAAGTTTCTCCAGTAAACGATAAGCACCAGTCTCCATATCCACTATCTCGAGAGGCATGCTAAGAGGATCATGATCAAGATATTCCTTCCTTTATCGCTGCTGCCCGACTGTCGATTTCTCAGACAGATCATATGATAGACGCTTCAAATTGCTCCTTCGCACACCCATCCTTGGTGGCATTCCTCCTATCATTTCAACAAGTGTCGGTGATCCTTCTGGCGATCCCACTATTATCTCAACAGACGCGACCCCCTTATTTGAATATCCTTTGCTTTTCTTTTTTTATCTAATTTTTTCTTCATTTTATCGATATTCTTCATGGACCTCACTCTGGTCGCAAAATCCTCTCCCAATGTACCCGTCAATGGGTAAAACACTACTAATGAACCCAGATATTTATAAAAAGCAGAAGCTTATTATCAAAACACTCAACAAACCTCGCTAATGGTTACCTGGCTCGACCAGCGTATCACCAAAACCCGGGTGTAAATTTTCTTTGGTCAACTCCTCGCTCTAGCACAGCGTTCAAAAACTCCTCTCAGGGATCATCAACATCAATATCTCCTTCAACTTCTCGGCAAAACCCGCGTATATGGGAGGAGTCGTCTTATCCGCTACACCAGAAGAGGAAACAATTAAACCAAGGGAACAAAAGAAATTTCCTCGATGAATTAAAGGAGACTTACGCATTTTTTCATTAAAATGGGTTGGCACATATGCAAACTGACCAGACGGCCGACGTGTTCTCCACTCTCCAGCTACCCAAAACCAATCTTGCTTCCAATCATGCTAAGAGTTAGGACATCCTTCACTAAGTTAGCATATGTTTGCCGACGCAGAGCCAAATGAAAGTATCCATCTTTTGGCGTCTTCCAGATAAATACGGAATCTAGTTCCTATGCGGTTGGAATTGACCACCTTTTGTCTACAAACATGATGACCAAGGAGCACAAACGACACATCACAATCGGATGCACTTGTCTAATGTCGATCTCTAATTTCCCCAGATATTCTTGTATTATTGGAAGAAGTATAAATCTTAGTCCAGAACTATGGAGGGCAGTGGGCCCACGCCTTTCTAACGGAGCGAACATCTTCACAATCCATGGTATTTTATAATTTTTTCCGCATCTTTATCAGATCGTTGTCGATCTACCGCAAGCTTGCAGATTTCCATATCCTCATGCGGCTCTTGCATCGGCCTATATTGCCAACAACCCTCTGACAATTGGAATTTAGAATTCGTGATCTCCCTCAAGAGTCGACTTCATTTCATGTTCGCTCACGTCCGCAATATTCAGTAGATACAAGGAAAGCAGAAAATATAAAAAAGAGAGACACTGAATATTTCAAACTCTCGAAATGCGTAAAGACAGACAATTGAGGGGAAGCCCCCCTATTTATATGGACATTTCCCAATTCATCAATCATTGCGTCTCATCGCATTCAAGACACGAAGTCCAAATGACACATCAAAAAAGATACGCCTTCAAAATTTGACAAGTTGCATTCCATCAATTAATGTTTCAACTAAAGGGACATCTTCTAAAATGTAACCACTACCTGATCGGCAATATTGGGAGCTTATACTTCTACGACACCTCAGCGATCCCTCTACACTTGAGAACCTGGAGTCCTCTATGTTGTACCTGAAAAATATCTAAAAATAAAGCTCCCCAAAAAGATACAACCCAAATACGGAGTCACCCCCACATAAAGATGGCGGCCTATAAGACGTGCGGAACATCTGGCGAGCGACCCAAGAACCTGAGATTAGGTTTGTCGATCACTCTATTGGTCGAACCTGGTCCTGCCGATCACCCTCTGAGCCTTCTCGTGGAGGATTGAGGATCACCACTTGTCTAAACACCAAACTAATAAAGCTTGTGGCATCGCCCAATTCGCGCTATCCTCAAAAGAAGAGTTTTGCATGGATACACGCGATGCCACCCTACGCCTGTAGCTAGCACCGAACATTTAGTGATTTTCTCACTTTTTTGTGTACAAATATTGACTCCTCATGGTCCTAAAAAGAACAACGTGGATCGAACACACAACTACAAATGCAAAATTCCCTCCTCATATGGTTGTAATACATTACTACATTGTTTCTCAATAAAAATTCTGGATAACTTTTCTCCTTGCATGTCGCTACAGCCGATCGACAAAATCGATCTCTTGTTCTTTTTTTGAGCACATTTATTTTTCTGAATCTTTTCATTTCTTTTCGAGATTCATTGCGATTAATTACACAATAAGTATAGCGTAAGTTCCGATTAAATCACTTAATTTATATCTATAATAATCGTGTGTGGTCGATCGTCTACACTTTCTATATATGAAACCAAGTCAATTCAATTATAAATAGTAGAATAATCATCCGTAGTTATAAATATTTAAGTGAATCAATAATAAATTTGATAAATTAACAGATAATGAATGGTTTTTATTGTAAAACTAAAGTAGAAAACGTGGTTAGTGAAAAAGAATAAAATAAGATTGGATGTTATAAATTTTTGGTCCAACGTTTACACTTTCTATATATGAATCCAAATCAATTCAATTGTAAATAGTAGAATAATCACCCGTAATTATTATAAATATCTAAATGAATCAATAATGAATTTGGTAAATGAACAGAGACAATGAATGGTTTTTAATAGAAAATTAAAATAGACAACGTGGTTAATGAAAAAGAATAAAATATGATTGGATGTTCAATTGTGCCATCATATTATATGTTTTTTTAGTTACTAGGAGTTTATAGACCTTCTAATCTACTCCATGCTTTGGAATTTTTTAAACTTTTAGAGTTCATGTTTTAGCTTTGGATTTTGTGTTCAGTCATTTTATTCTTTTATTTATATTTATTAAAAAGTTGCTTTCAATTTAAGATGCAATTTTGACCTTGGGATGATCTGAAATCATATTGCTGGATTCTCGATCTTCTACCTTACCAAACAAATGATTATATAAGACCATACATAAACTACATATTTTTAGTTATTTAAAAACAGAGTAGGAAGTATATATATATATACATATAGAGACTGGTACAATAAAAATTAGTCCTGATGTGAGAACTATGAGAACTATATTTGATGATATTTTTTATTGTGTATGATGCTATTGCTAATATTGCATGGTGCTATCATTTTCACAAATGTTAATAACAATCGTATTGCTATTTTTATTAAAATATATTCTGGTTAAAAATAGCACTAAAACACAATCAATCATAGCACTTCATACAATTAAAAATAGCGGTTCTCACGGTATTTTAAGGGCTTGGTCAAATAAAAACTAGTCCTCGTGTGAGAACTGTGAGAACGATATTTGATATTATTTCAAATGAGAACCAAGTCCTAGCGTGAGAACCGTTTAATTGTATGAAATGCTAGATTGATTGTGTTTTAGTGTTATTTTTAATTACTATGAATTTTATTACAAGTAGCAACACAAATTATATTAGCATTTCTGAAAATGATAACATCACGTATTACTAAAAATAGCATCAATTATGATTCTCACGATTCTCACACCAGAATTAGTTTTTATTTGAACCAGTTATATACACATACTCCATTATTTTTAATTCATTTTTAGCAATGGCATGTAAGTTAGTAATAGTATTATTTAATTAGTTTCATAAAATTATAATTTTTTTGCCTAATTATTTACTTATAAATATGTTTTGGAGGGTAATGCCTAGAGATTGCCTACAAATTTCCCTATAAATTTTTCTCAATGTGCTTACCTACAAATGTAAATTCCTAGAGGTTGCATACAATATTTCTTTCTTGCAATTTGTTATCTAGGTATTTTCTTACAAATATATTTTTTAGGAAAATAATCACATATGGCTTACAATTTTTTTTTTCTTCATACAAACTTTTCTCTAGGTACTTACCTACAAATATATTTTGTAGGTATGCCTTGAGATTGCCTACAATAGTTTTTTTCTACAATTTTTTCTCTGGGTATATTTGCCTACAAATATATTTTGTAGGCAAATGCTTAGAGATTGTTTATTAATTTTTTTTCTTACAATTCTTTTATATTTGTAGCTAAATACCTTGATTTATGTTATATTTACCTACAAATATTAGTTACCTACAAATTAAGCCTACCTTGATTTTCCTACAAATTTTTTACCTAGAAAATTTTTAAATAAATATTTGTCTTGGTAGATAGCTACAAATTATGTAGTTAAATTCCTTGAAATTAGCTACATTGATGTTATTAAGATTTTCTTACAATCTTTTCTCTAGGAATTTACCCATAAATATATTTTGTTGGTAAATTTCTAAAGATTGTCTGCCACTTTTTTGTAGGTAAATGTGATCACTCCTGATCGATTAACTCACCCTCAACAAGAACATCGAAGGTGTAGAACTCTTCGATATAGAGTAATGACAGCTTCATTGATAGTCGGGTGATTGGGGACAATACGGCAAGGACCTATCAAATAATCATCTACCAGATCTCGGAGACCGTCATATAATTGTCGGACAATCATTGACTTATACGTGATCACAATCGCCTGACACATCGATCACCTAACCGAATTGCCATTACACACCCGTGGGCCAGACCAAGCAATGATCCACGGAGTAAACCTCGTCCGCAGGTCGAGATAAACCATCAAGGTCAGCCGAGACTACAAGCTGCCCTCGCGATCGGGAAAAATGTCAGATCTGCAAGAATAACAATGGATCTATGTCATGATGCTCACTGGGACGCTTCAGCAAAATGACATCCCAAGAGCCATCAAAAGGCAAAGTATTGATCCGACGCCTGTCGATCTATGCAAATAAACCCCCAGGACACTTCTGCTCAATACCCTCCTATGGGATAACAAATCGCTCATCAGTCCTTACTAATGCAAATAGGCAAACAACTGATCTACGTCAGAGACGTCGACAACAACATCTCTAAAAGAGGTTTTCTATCACACATATCTAGATCAAATAAAATTTTAGATGCGTACAGGATCGACAAAGTTACACATGTTCATGTATCCCGTACGTTCACGAGAATCTTGTAACAACTTCGCACATTTAAAAAATTGTTATACTCGTGATTATACTTTTAGCACGATCACTATCTTTGTATTATCGTGATATTTTCACTCTATATGTAATATCTTGATAAGGTCATCACTTTTTATCCGATCGTCGTGCCCCATGTCAAAATTAAAAGTCACAATATTGCGATATAAAAAACAAAAGACGAAAAAAATAAGAGACATGTGTCCATCCAAAACCCAATTTCGTTTGACGTTTCTAACGAAGGCAACTAAAAATGACCTCTATAAGAAGTGTTGCACATACCTACTAAACTCCCTTAAGAACCCTCAATCGTGGTCTGGCCCATTACAACCATGACATAACCATCCCGATACACGACCCAAGAAATTTTGCATATATCGGCCCAATATGAACTTTGCCAATCGCCTGATTGTTGATGTTAAAGTTTCCGACCACAGCGATCGTCGAAGGTCGTCGATCGCTCTGCAATGTATGGATGCGCTCTGATATTCTGGAACTAGTAAAGCCGCTAAATATGCTGATACCACTGCCCAAGAGATCTAACTGCGCGTTGCAATGCTGCAAATTATAGTTTATGTTTTTCCTCAGCTAACCTCTACTAACTAGTAGTAGCGGCATGTAAGGGTCGATCTCACGAGGAGTGTGAATCAAATTGTGATATTCTTGTATTAATTGAAATTATAAAGAGCAATAAATTTATAAATCTAATTTATCTAAGAATGAAATATAAATAAGAAAATAAAAATAAATAAATAAATTATGAGAAATTTCTACTTCACGGTTCCGTCTACACCCTCGACTGACTCGTCTTATCAACTTTAGTATCAAATCTTGCTATCTTATGGAACTACTAGCCCTAGGTAACGAGACGGCCTGTTACTCGAATTTTTCTTTATTTTTAATTTAACCGCGAGACACTCTACGATTAAACCTGACTTCTTATACAGTCCAGAAAAACGTTTTCCAAATTTATACAATTAGCCGCTTTACGAATTAGAAAAATACGCTACACTAAGTAGTGAACTCAACGCGTTCGTTCACTTAAATAGGTCGTGTTATCCCCGATAGTTACCGTCTTCCGGTAGCCTCTAATGAATTAAACACAACAATAATTAACGGATTGAAGGTCTAATTCAGCTGTAGATATGAAAAGCCTAATCTAGGTGATCAATCTAAATAAGACTCAACACATCATGGTTAATTATTTGTTAATTATTCAAAATAACACAAACAATTCCACAAGATATTGAAATTATCAACTATATAAATTAATCAAACATCGTCAATCGTAGGGTTTGACTTCCCCAGAACTAGAAATAAAATCTAAGCTATCATAATAAATAAAAAAGAAAAGAGAAGAATATAATTATCCTTCTCGTGTGCAGGTGCGGCCTCCCTCTGCGATTGATCGAGCTCCCTCACTTCTGTCCTCTTTCCGTGCGGCTGGCTCTCCCTTTGTTGCGTATTTTTCTTTTCGTTTTCTCTCGGGCGTGAATGATTGCGGCTGTCTCTCGGCTTAAGTTCTGCGTAAATGTATTCTTGATGGCTTAAATATTTCCATTCACTCCCTTTTTCTTGAGGAATTTAAATCCCTTACCATCATATATGATTTATATTACACTTATACACCTAATTTAACTTTATTTATAAAATAACTAAATCAACCACAAAATATTACAAATATACCTAATATCCAAATTAAATGTGATTGGATCATTAATTGGTAAGATATATTATTACCAAATATCAATGAGATATTATATCTCTCCTCTCTTCAAAACCGTCTACGATCTCCAATCCTATGCAAAAAATTTCATTCTTTTCCCCAATTTTTCTCAACGGCGACAATAAAACTCCCCATCTCTACTCGAAAAAAAAAACAGAAACAACAAACGATTGGCGGAGACTGGCGGTGGGCGGCGGCGACGGTTATGGGCTGCCGATAGAATACTAGTCCAGGCCGCAGAAGAAGTCCACGCAGCATCACATGAAGACACGCCTGCGCAAGACCCGGCCCTGGAACATCAAGGAGAATCGGATCGGACGATCAAGAAGATTAACGGGCAAGTGAAAAAAGAGGTCGAGAAAGCAAACTTTTTAGGGGAAGTGGAAAATCGGATGGTCCGCAAGGAAGGAGCGACCTTTGCCTTGTTTGGTGAGAAAATCGGCAGAGAGATGGCGCCAGCGGTGGTGGCTAGCGTTTCCATTTCCGATTGATTACGTGAGTATGTATTTTGAATTCTTGTTTTTTTTTTTTAATGAAATAGTAACAGTCAATGACAAATATATTGTAAATAAAACGAATATTTATATAAAAAATTAAATATATCATAAATGCAAAAGAACCTATATAAATTAATTAGGACCATCGGTATGGAATAGTATTGGAGGGCACCTCTTGTCCTTATTCATCAAGCTTGAATTCTAGAAGTGTGGAACGAGGGCATTCTTTCCATTTTTTTTCTTTGGGGCTTCAATTTTGGGTTGAAGATAAAGGTACGGGGACGATCAAGGTCAAGGTCGCTCCTTCCTTGTGGATTTTTTTTCACTGTTTTGATTTTATTTTTGTTTATATTCAATATATGTATGATCAATGATTGATGATGTTTCAACGTTTTTGAGAATTTTTTCTTTTGTTTGACTAGCTGATTAGTCTCACGTTTTCTGAAGCTGGTTTATTTTTATTGACGGTTCATGCTTTTGGATGTTGAATGGATGTTGGATGTTGAATAGTACTGGAATTTTGAGGGTTAAAAAGAACCCCAATCAATATATGTTGAGTATATAGACAGTATATTTTTAGTTTATAGACATTCTACGTCGGAAATATTTACATTTTGCTCAGACAACACGTATATGTTGAATATATAGACAATATATTTTTGATTTATAGGCATTTTATGTTTTCAAAATATTCAAAATCCGATTTAAAACAAGAATAAACTGATTTTTTTTGTTGTTGTGTATATGTATAGTTTATATACATAGTCCATTCATCATATAATGAATGAAAATTATCATAGGCGACTCCAACTACAAAAATATTAAAAGCATATACCTTTAATATACCCAAACAACACGATACATAACAGAAGATGGAGTATATGTTCTGTATATTAGAAGATATTTTTATATAGGAAATATAAGTAACTTGTTATAATATGCTTGTAAACTATATATATACTTTTCTGTATTAAAGTTAAAAAAAAATAGGAAGACATAATTGTGTGATGGAAGACATTTTTTTCATTGCAACATATACTGAATATATATACTAACATAAACGCAATATATACCACCTGATAGCTGCGTGCGGAAAATATGAGATTTTTTTAGTAAGCTAATGGAAATCCGTTTCCTCTTTGACTTTCATTCCATATACATTATGATTTATTTTTTTTAGTAAGCTAACAGAAATCGTGAGGAAAATATAGGATTGAGGCTCGCCCTTATGTGTAACTGACTTTTAGGTTTATATGCATTAAAAACTCTTTATTTAGGTATAGTTACAATTATTTGTTTATCAAAGGATAATTGTAATATTTTCAATTTCATACAGGAGACATAAAAATTTCCCCTTTTTCTTTTTAATTCCTTTGGTGGCTGCTTGCGTGAATTCGCTCCAAGGCCCAAACCAATTAAATCATCTCTTATCAAATAAATGTTGCCTGCGTGTCTTTTGTCCACCTTTTGGGCCAAATTGGCCCAACAGCCACTATAATGAAGGCAGGCTTCATAATTGATATCCTTGGGCTTCTTTTAATCTACATCATCGAGTCCTAGTTTTTATGTATTCGGGCGCCTCGATTATTGCTCACGCGAAATCTCGTCAACGTCAACGGCTTCACGTCCACAAACATACTCCAAAATACTGAGAAATAATGCATAAAACATCAAAAAAAAATAAAAAAATCCATCCAAATAATAAACAAGTCAAAAAATATAAACGTGCGGATAAATTAAATGTATAAAAATACACTATTAAATATATAAAGCGTGCCCATTTTTCGACATATCAAATCGCAAAATTTGACCGCACGTCGCAACGCGGCAAAATTAAAATTTATATTTTCCTCAGCTAACCTCTACTAACTAGTAGCAGCGGCAAGTAAGGGTCCCACGAGTAGTGTGAATTTTTCCGTATTAATTGAATTATAAAAGCAATAAAAATTGATTTATAAAATCTAATCTATCTAAGAATAAAATCTAAACAAGAAATAAATATAAAATTAAATAAACTAAGAGAAATTTCTAGTTCACGGTTCCGTCTACACCCTCGACTAACTCGTCTAATCAACTTTAGTATTAAATCTTGCTATCCTATGGAATTACTAGCCCTATGTAACGAGACAGTCTGTTACTCGAATTTTTCCTTATTTTTAATTTAACTGCGAGACGCTCTACGATTAAACTTGACTTCTTGTACAGTCCAGAAAAAACGTTTTCAAGATTTAATACAATTAGCCGCTTTACGAATTGGAAAAATAGGCTAGACTAAGTAGTAAACTCAACCGCGTTCGTTCACTTAAATAGGTTGTGTTATCCCCGGAGTTACCGTCTTCCGGTAGCCTCTAATGAATTAAACACAACAACAATTACGGATTGAAGGTCTAATTCAGCTGTAGATATGAAAAGTCTAATTTAGGTGATCAATCTAAATAAGACTCAACACATTATGGTTAATTATTCAATATAACACAAACAATTTTACAAGATATTAAAATTATCAACCATATAAATTAATCAAACATCGTCAATCGTAGGGTTCGACTTCCCCAGAATTAGAAATAAAATCTAAGCTATCATAATAAATAAAAAGAAAAGAGAAGAATATAATTATCCTTTTCGTGTGCAGGTGCAGTCTCCCTCGAGCTCCCTCACTTCTGTCCTCTTTCCGTGCGGCTGGCTCTCCCTTTGCTACGCATTTTTCTTTCTCTCCCTTTGCTACGTATTTTTCTTTTCGTTTCTCCCAGGCGTGAATGATGGCGGCTGTCTCTCGGCTTAAGTTCTGCGTGAATGTATTCCTGATGGCTTAAGTAATTCCTTTCACTCCCTTTTTCTTTTTAATTCCTGTGGTGGCTGCTTGCGTGACTTCACTCCAAGGCCCAAACCAATTAAATCATCTCTAATCAAATGTTGTCTGCGTGTCTTTTTTTAGAATTTAATTTTGTATATTAATTAAACAACTTTAATTTAAAAAATGCCAAAAACTCAATCCCTTCTATGATCAAGATTTTTCTAATTCGCATTATAAGGATTTATAGTTTATTTAGCATACTATGCAATAAAAATTTATTTTACAAGAATTTAATTATAGAAATAAATCAAAATAAAAAATAAAAAAAATAATCATGGGTGCCAATAATATACAAATAAATTCTAAAAAATAGTTAATATATTTAAATTTTAATTTTCACCATCAGTAAAACTATTTAATTTATATGGCCATTATCTCTTAAATGGTAAATTATATTAATTTGAAGAACAATTTATCTTTTATATTTAACAAAATAAAGCTTAAGAAAAAAATATACTGCCAAAGATTAATCCACCAACTTGATTTTGTCTGATTACAATTCTATCTAACATGTTACGATTTTCCATAAATATTTTTGAGTAAAAATTGAATATTTGTGAAAAAAAATTATATAATGGTGAAAACTTTATATAAAAAAAAAAAAGAGTTTTAGAAAATGTTCTTGGTCGAAAACAGTGTGAATGAAACACCTTAATAAATTGAATATATGGTGTATATTTATCTTGACCAAAATATTATCAACATGGATCATGGAAATCAATCTTTTAATTTATTATAATGAATATCAATGAAAGTATTACAAATATTAACAAAATAATATTTATCTTGACCAAAATATTATCAACATGAATCACGAAAAATCAATGTTGTAATTTATTATAATAAATATCAATGACAATATTGTAAATATTAATAAATTTATTTAAGTAATTTTTTGTTCATATCTTATTTTATCTTATTTGAAAACGTGTATATGGAAACAATTAATGTATATATTTAAAATGTTTCCAAAAATTGTATGCATTAAATGTTTCCTAAAATTTTGACTACTATTTTTAGTAAATGATAATTCTTATTTATAAATAAGAATTATCATTTACTATAATGAAGGCAAGCTTCATAATTGATATCCTTGGGCTTCTTTTAATCTACATCATCGAGTCCCAGTTTTTATGTATTCGGGCGCCTCGATTATTGCTCACGCGAACTCTCGTCAACGTCAATGGCTTTACGTCCACAAACATACTCCAAAATACTGAGAAATAATGCATAAAACATCAAAGAAAATAAATTCATCCAAATAATAAATAAGTCGAAAAATATAAACGTGCGGATAAATTAAATGTATAAAAATACACTATTAAATATATAAAGCGCGCACATTTTTCGACATATCAAGATCTCATCTCGCCGTCCAAACATGTCATTTCTCACAGACTTGCAAGAATACATCCGATCCTCAAAAGAAAAACTTTTTTTTATGGATCCACACATCTTTTTCTTAGCCATCAAGGCGACTTATAGACATTATTACACTTTTCTTTTTCTCTATATAAAGGTGACTCCTCGGCACCTCCAAAAAACACAAGCAATAGATGGTGAATAAGCTAAACACCACTAAAACCAGTCACTAGCATACTCTAAGCCCGTTTTACGGCCATCATTGTAACACCAAATATTTCTAATCATTTCCCCCCAAAAGCCTTTCTCTTTGTCGGTCTTACAGTAGATTGGCGACATCTCATGTCATTTCATTTCTTACACAAATACACTCCATAAATCCACGTAAAATAAAACCTTAATCCTGAATTTGAGAAACGATTGACGATTGATCCTCAACAAATTGACGCTAGAGGAAAGGCAAATCATTTATTTCAGTTAATCCACCTTATAACAGTCAGATATCATCATGTCTCATTCTTTTGACACTACTTCACTTCAACCTGAGGATAATACTCCTTCCCCTCTCGATGTTGTCGACCTAATCTGCAATCCTTCTTTCATCAAAGGCCTCACTGACCTGTTTTCTCAAGTCTTGAAAAATAGTCCCCCAGAGAAAACTAATCCTCATGCTACTCACCAGAATCCTAGACAAACACAAAATCCAGAGATGAAGAAGTCCCATCCCCAAAAAGGACTGGGGCCCTTAACTAAGGAAAAGAAAAGCAGCGTCCTGAGT